TTTCTCCCTCCGGCACCCTTCTTGAATTTTCCTGATTCCATGAAACAACGATTCTAACCCTGGAGACGAAGTAATTATGTTTAAATATGTGTTGGTAAGACTGGTAATTGATTCGGATTGCAGCCATTGAAATCGGGTTGTGATTTTATAGTGGAGGAATCTAGTTCTGGAAGTGGGACGGTAGTAACTGCTGGATTTAGATGTACAAAATAGGTGAGGATCTTTTTGGAACCTCCGCACGCGGAGACTAGAACCTCCGCGTGCGGAGGCTTTCACCAGCCTCCTGTGCGTGCGGAGTTTTTGCCTCCGCATCTGCCTCCTGTTTTATTACTAAAAAATATGATTTCAGCTAAATCAAACACGTGCTTAATCACTAATCTTTTATTTACTATAAAAAATTATTATCATCAAATTTGATAAGTTTATGACAATAAAAGAAAACTAAAGGGGCCACTCTCCCTACTCATCAAAAAATCCTCGTGGCAGACACCATTTTTAACACCATCAACGGTTTACATTTAAGCATTACATTACACACCAATTCGGTCATTTACATACAGAAGAGGGTTCTTTGCAACTCACTAAATGGTGCATAATGGTATTTGTCCAAAAGCTTCAGCTCCTGCCAAGAAAATATAAACTTGAGCCTACACATAAATACAAAAGAGCAGCACTAAAGGTCAAAAAATTACATAAGATCTCCTCCAGAAATGTCAACCAAACCAGGCAACGAAATCTCCTAATATTAACTAAAACAAAACAAACCCACTAAACTTTTTGCAATGATAACAGATAAAGTGATAAACTATAAACCAATATCAAGATTGTAGACCGACCCCACTAATTTTTCATCTTGAATTTACAGATCCAAACAGAAAAAAATGAGAAATGAGCTCCGCGTGCGGAGGTTGGAGCCTCCGCACGAGGAGGCTGGAACCTCCGCACGCGGAGGATTTCACCAGCCTCCTCTGCGGAGGCTGCCTCCGCAGTACCGCACCAACCTCTTGAATTCTATCAAATTCTAAGCATTTAAAACAAAATTATCTTATGCTATGAACTGAATTGCCACATCGATTAAAGATTAAATCGTANCTCCGCCCTTTCTCCCTCCGGCACCTTTCTTGAATTTTCCTGATTCCATGAAACAACGATTCTAACCCTGGAGATGAAGTAATTATGTTCAAATATGCGTTGATAAGACTGGTAATTGATTCGGACTGCAGCCATTGAAATCGGGTTGTGATTTTATAGTGGAGGAATCTAGTTCTGGAAGTGGGACGGTAGTAACTGCTGGATTTAGATGTACAAAATAGGTGAGGATCTTTTTGGAACCTCCGCACGCGGAGACTGGAACCTCCGCGTGCGGAGGCTTTCACCAGCCTCCTGTGCGTGCGGAGTTTTTCCCTCCGCATCTGCCTCCTGTTCTTCTTTGAGTATATTTAATTCTATTCCTCCATTAAATAATATATCTGTTCAATTTTAAAAAACATTATCTAAAAAATGAAATAATTACTGTTGGAAATTGCATTACAATAATTAAAAATCAAGTTAATTGAATAGTACATGAGATTGTCATGTGTGCTCTAGTAACAATGAAAATGGTCTTCCTTTTTTCTCTCATTTGACCATACACGAGCAAACCTCATTCGTGTATTGAATTAGAACACGTTGAATATCATTAAAGAAGAAAAGGAGGTCGAATTTAGGATCTGATTGAATTCATATCGAATACTACTTAAATGATACACGAACGAATGGTTTCTTGTAAGAATTGGTTTCATTTGATAATTAGTTTTAATATCAAATATTATTTCCCATGTCTAGTTGTGCTAACTGAATTCATTGTTGCTCCACCCAAAAACTGCCTCTTACTTTTTACTTGATTTTATTTACCCATTTTTCACTTGATTTTGATCAGAAGTTCTGAAAGGAGGGCTGTCTTAAAAAATATTGGTACTGTCTCGAAAAGAGGTTCAATAATACGAACTAACTTTAATACCTAGAGGTAATTATAAACTCGAAGTCACATGATTTTAAAACAGATAGCATTAATTAAATCAGTCAAACTTGAAGTAATAGGCAAACAGTAATTTGTGTGAATTGAAAAAATCTCAAATGTTTGTGTTACTTTAATAGCAAAAGGGGCATATTAAAGTGTCGTGTTGCTTCGAAATAGGCGTGACCTTTTAATAAGGTGGAATCCACACCATTAAATTTGAAATGATATTGTAAAATGTAGACCAACACTTT